ATACTGTAAGTTTTTATAACTGAATAAAAACTTGAACTATTTTATTTTTTGAAGAACCGAAACCTATGGTTTGAGATTTGATGAACCACAAATTATATTAACCCAAAAAAATCATATTTTTAAAATAACTTACTTTACTAATTTGATTAATCGGCATAAACTAGTTATTAAACTCATGCATTTACAGTCGAATTTTCCTATCTGATTATTTCTAGCCACTCAACTAATTTTTTTTTTTAGCAGTAATAGTTTTTTTCCCTTAAGGAAGAATCTTTACCAACAAAAAAAATCTGAATAGTTCAACAGAACACCCACCGGGGGGTTTACAATTTCTCATTTATTCCTTTGTTGTTGAAACAATTCCCTATTTTTATCCTATAAAAAAGAGACATCTTAATTATGTCTAGATATTTATCCTTCAACCAAAATATCTTCTATTAATTCAATAATATGTACTATTGTTCCCAGCAAAGGATGAGATATATTTAAAGGGGAGGGGCCAGCATAATATGGAAATGGAGAGGTACAGGAACTTTTTCCCTGGAAATGAGCACAAAAAACAGAGAGTGAATTGGGAGAGAGCAGACCTTTTAGGCAAAAAGAGTGCTGCCCTTAGACATATGGAAAAAGCAGCTCAGGGAAGATGATGGCCAAGGGGACCTCCTTCCCTCACTCATTCATAATTCATAAATGCCCTCATAAATGATGCTTTCCAAGACGAGGAGAGATAGAATCATAAAGTTTCAGAAAAGGAGGGAGCAAATGGGATTGATTTTTTTATTATTATTCAAATTGATTGAAGTTTTGGGGCAGATTAGATGAACTGGAACTAAGTTAACTGTAAATAACGTTACTACTTTATTATGAATTTTTTATAGGGATTAAATGAAGAGCCCACATAAATAGTATTTTGTTATTATTTATAAATAATCTGCACTTCAAACCCATAAATTATTTTTTTAGTCTTATTTATACGACACTTTCAACGTAGTTTAATAAACTTAAAAAAAATTTAAACTGTATGAACTATTTTTTAAAATATAACAACTTTTCAAGTTTATCCTTATTTAATATATATATTAAAAAATAATTATCTATATTATAATAAATGAAAAAAAAATAATATTATTAATATTAAAATTTAATAAGGTGGTTTATAAACCGGACTAAGAAAAATATTTTCTTATTGTCCTATAAATAAGACTAGAGAAGTATTTTATATTTTCTCTTACATATTTATTTTACCTCTGCATTTCTTAAGTCCACATAGATAAAAAAAAAATTTTAAAAAATCATTAATTACCTTTCAAGTAACTCATATCTAGGAGCAATTTTTTTTACTACTGGTTACTTGTGAGTATGAATAGGGTGGTACTTTCATACAAAGACACGCCCATGAATAAAGCACGTGTTTGAACTTGTGATCTATTTTTCTTAGAAGGGAGGTTGACGATTTTTTGCATTGATGAAAAAAGGTATTAGGACTGCTTTTATCATCAATTAGAAAGGAGGACAATTTTTTTTGGGTACGCGAGAATTCCTTTGTGAGTTTCAATCTTACACGTAAAATGCATGTTTGATTAAAAAAATCCCGAATTAAATATAATAAATTTTCTGAGTAAATGGTTGGGATTTCGATTTCTAATTCTATTGTGTGAGGTAAATGCAGCTAAGGGTCTATTCCTTGCTTTTAGTAGTCCGGGCAAAATTGAGATATGTTACGTTGAAAGATGCTTCAAACTTACCCGTACAAAAAGATCATTAATTAATAATTATATATTATTTCATTCTTTACGTGGTGATTTATTACCAGATAAATATACAGTAATGTAGAATTTAGCTTTATACTTTCTGTTGAAAATAATATAATCGGTTCAATACTTTAAAAACATATTTAACAAATTGGAAAAATTACTGAAAAATTTCTCATTACCAGATTTATTTATTGTTCACATCTGCAATTCATTTTTAATAGATACAATTCTTCTTTACACGTATGCAAAATATTTTTAGATGTATATAAATGTCTTTTATTTTGTACATAATTACATATAAGTTGCATATAACTAAAAAAGAGTTACATATGTTCAAATTTTGTATACTATTTTGGAATGGGACAGCAATTTTCACTAAAAAAAAAAAAATTCGCCTGTCGATATTTTCTAAACAGCTTTGTCTGAATCAAGATGAATAATCAGAAATAAAGGACGAAAAATAAAATATTATTAATATTCATGAATGGTCTGTTTCGTGACGCTGACAATTGTACTTTTTATAAAGCAACATTATACCACATACCATACCAGGCCCCAAAACAAACAGAACTGACGCCACGTAAATTCCTACACTAAAGAATTTTGAAAGATTAATTTTAGAAAGCTTTTATTCCACTTTAATCTCTTTCTTTATTAGTATATTGAAAATCGACTTAATGTTATTATTTTATCGATGAACTTCAAAATTTTGTGTTTTTTTTTTTTTGGCGTCACTGAAACATGCAACCCGCTGGGAAGTTTGCATTATACAGAATAGAGACCAATCCAATTATGGGGGTTGGGCCTAGGCCCACAAAGCCCAAAGTAAAACCTCGGCTATCAGCCATTCAAAAGCCCGCTTCTTTTACTTCCTGTAACCCCCAATATGATATAAAAAGAAGCGGGCTTTTCCATTAGTACAAAAAAAAAAAAGAAGTAGGCTTTCCTTGAACTTTTATTTCTAGCGACTCGCAATTATTATCATGACTAAAGGTTAGTTTTTCATAACATGATAAATTAAGATTTTATTTTTTATTTAAAAAAAGTATTCATATTTAGTATCCGACAGTATCCTGAACGTGATTGTGTATAATAAGAGGATATCTGTGCCCACAAAAAAAAATTATTGTTTCTAAAAGACTAACGAGACTATAAATTTAAATGCCTTGTTGGTCTATTACACACGCAAAGCAGGTAGGAACTTTGCCAACCTTAGTAACCAAAAAAAAAAAAAGTCATCGCACAATATGTATTGTTATTTAACTTATTTTTTCCTGCCTCCTGGGCTTCTCTCTTGAAGCTAAATTTTCTAATGACAAAACCTTTGTAATTATCCATTTAAGTCATGATATTACTAGGTTGCGTATTATTAATACGGCTCATATAATGTTGATTGAGATAATTAACGAGAAAATAAAAAGATCCATGCCTAGGGACACATCATGATCTAATGAAAAAGAGGTATAGGAAGTTATGGATGTACGTAATAAATATATAGCACATGGAAGGTTTGTGCATGAGAGATAAAGGATTTCCCAGTTTAGAGCAGCAACGTCTTTATATGAAGAATTGTTTAGGTTTTACTTCCAAAAATTATTTCTATATTTTAAAAAATAATTTTTTTTTCACATGTTTATTTAGCATAGCCTAAAATTATTTTTTTCAGGTGTCTAAGAGAGTTGAGGGAATTATTGTAGATGTATGCAGGAAACGGATTGGAAACAAAACTCGATTTCTAATGAAAACAAGCGCAGATATATAAATATAATCTTACTTAGAATCCAATAAGCGCTGATATTTAAATGCTTTTTTAAAAATAATGTTTAATTATGTCAGATATAATTAATTCGGGCTTTTTCTGGACCTCATAATATAGGGCTGAGCACAGCACCTCATGGGACCAGTGAATGGTTGACGCGGCCGTGTCTCACACCCTTCACGTTACCTAACGCCCATTTAATGCATCGCCGCTTGGTACGTCCAAATTTGCAGCATTGATTTTCTATAAGGGCAAATAATCGCATTACATGACAAAATTAGTTAAAAATAATAAATTGGTAGGAAATTCATCAATTCATGTAATTATTAATCAACTTATTAAAGTTAACTACTGTATTTGGCCCCCAAAAAAATCAGTCTATGAGTGTATTAATTAATTAATATTGTGATTTTAATTAGTGTAAATTTTCATCTTCATCATAGTTCACTAAAACTTAAGACGAGTTCGTTCTGCTTCTTTCGTTCTTATTTACTTATTCTCATAAAAAATATAGATTAAGGAAAAAAAAAGGTAAAATTCATATATAGTATATAAATTTTTTTAAGTATTGTCCTCGCTGCACTATTTTTTTAATAACATAAAGTGCAGCACTATTTTAATTTTTAAATCTGAACTACATTCATTAAATTCAATGCTCTGCATTTAGTAAAAGTAATTTTTTAAAATTTGAAATACTATACTATAATATACATCTGGACAAGTAAATAAACAAAGATGGATTCACAGGCATTCTAACTAGGTAGGTAGCAAAACGTTCCCAAATCCCAATCTTTACTTCATAAATATTTCAACTGGTTGAATAATTTTTAATATAAAACATATTTAACTAATTTTAAAAAAATAAAAAAAGTTAATTACCTGTAATAAATAATTATTGTCTTTTTTAAAATACTCTTATTAATAACGGGTGTTTGAATTACTTATTGATAATAATTACTATGAGAATTACTTGAAGTCAAACTAAATAAATATTGGAGATAAAGTGGACTGAGGTTTTGTATTTAGAACCAAATTAAATATCAAATTAGCTACTCCCTTGTTTTTTAATATAAGATCAATTTAATTAATTTGATTAGATTAAAGAAGTTATATAAGTTAGTTAATTATAAGAAATGTGACACGTTTTTTCTAAAATATCATAATTATCTTTCTTAATACCTCATCTTCCTCTTCTACTTAATTATGGTTGAGTGAGTATCCATATAGATAATTTCGAAAAAATTCATAAATATGAGAAATGGGTCTTATATGTAGGATCAAAACCAATTTAACAATTGGGTCTTATATTAAGGATTAGATGGAATACTAATTTTTTATTTTCAGTTTTAAAATCTATTTTAATTTTGCAAGTTACATAGTCTATCTATAATCTATACTGGTAATATACTCTCTAAAATTTATAGTATTAGCATTTTTGGTAGAAAATTTTAGAAGAAGGATAATTGAGTGTAGCTGAAGGCAGCACCGCAGGCATGCATTTAAGCTCTCTTCCCCGAGGCATGCAATGGCGCAGATATTGAATGCAACAAGAAAGCCAAAATGAGTCTCGTGAATGATTTCATGTAAATAACTGCTATTCCTTCATTCTCTTCTTTGTTTTCTTCAGCTCTTCTCTGGCGGCGATTGAGATGGACGCGCACGCTCCTCTGCTCAAAACCTCTGACCCTCCGTCGCCGTCCCCGGTGGTGTTGGACGAGAACGGCGACTATGCTTCAGTGAAGGGATTCAAGGCCGCTAAGGAGGTATTCTGGACAGAATCGGTCAAGTTGTGGCGGATTGCGATGCCGATCATTTTTAATATTGTGTGCCAATTCGGCGTCAACTCCTTCACCAACATTTTCGTCGGCCATCTTGGCGAAATTGAGCTCTCCGCGGTTTCTCTGTCTCTCTCTGTTATCGGAACCTTCTCTTTTGGCTTCATGGTTAGTGTATTTACTTGCCTCTCTAGATGAAGATGTATGGAAGCTCTATGGATGTGTCCGAATGTGTTTATCAACGCCAGCATCTCATCTTTACTCCAAAAATCAGAGTCCTACCGCATAGTGTGCATTACCGTAATAGAAATTTTATATAATACTTTATATTTAAACACGGTTTACATTACGCACTAATATCATGACTGGCTTTTAGTGAATGAGAAACTCAATGAACTATGTCTCTTTAACTTTCTTTTACTCACTCGAGCCTTGGCTAATTAAAGCTAAGCTTCAATGTCTTCGAAACATGGTTTAATTTCATTACAGCTGCGTTGCAAATCTTTTTGGTCACATTAAATATAATCTATATTTAAATCCCTCGGACTTCAGTCTGTCTCTCATGCGGCGTCCATATTCTTTTGAAGTTGAATAATTTATTATTATTTTATACATTTCTCTAAATTACAATGGCTTAAAAGCGCTTTACCATGTGAAGTAGAGAGTCTTATCTCTGTGGAGTTCTTCGGATGATGATGAAGAGAATCTGCAATTCATTAATGTTACTTTCTTGATTTACTTTTAATCTTTTAGTGTTGCAAGCAATATCAGAAGCCTCTTTGCTTTAATTCTACTGTGATGCATAATTACAATGTGTTGCGGAAAGAGTGGCAACTAGAGTTGATTGTAGACAGTAGGTGGGATCCAGATCTTTTAAATATTGACCCAAAGTTGAGCTTGCAGTCTAGTCTATGATTACACAATAGATAACTAAGAAGTGTATATTGCACTTTCAAATTTCCAATTTTTATATCCACCTTCACATAAGTTTTTTCTACCAAAGTAAAGCTTTATCATTGATATGTGTTGAAAGTTGTTTTATTGAGTTTAAAATCTGATCTTTCTCTGCAAAACCTGTAGCTTGGCATGGGAAGTGCATTGGAGACTCTCTGTGGCCAAGCTTTTGGTGCTGGCCAAATTTACTTGCTTGGTGTTTACATGCAACGCTCATGGATAATCCTATGGGTCACCTGCATTTTACTCTTGCCAATTTACATCTTTTCGGCTCCAATATTGGAACTTCTAGGCCAACAGAAAGAGATAGCTGATATAGCTGGAAAGTTCACTATACAAGTGATTCCTCAGTTTTTCTCACTAGCCATCAATTTTCCAACCCAAAAGTTTCTTCAAGCTCAAAGCAAGGTTAACGTGATTGCCTGGATTGGTTTTGTGGCTCTACTTCTGCACACTGGGTTGTTATGGCTCTTAATATATGTATTCAAGTGGGGCTTAACTGGTGCAGCTGTGGCATTTGACGTCACTAGTTGGGGAATTTCATTGGCTCAAGTTGTTTATGTTGTAGTTTGGTGCAAGGAAGGGTGGCATGGATTCTCTTGGGCAGCATTTGAGGATATTTGGGCTTTCGTTAGGCTATCCCTTGAATCAGCTGTAATGCTTTGCCTTGAGGTTTGGTATATGATGAGCCTTATTGTTCTTACTGGCCACCTTGATAATGCAGTGATCGCTGTAGATTCTCTCTCCATTTGGTAAGATCGTAACTTCATGCTCGAACATAACTATCTCACCGAGTTACCAAAACCAGTGCAATCTCTGAACCATTGTAGCGTTGCATTACATCCTACTTCTATCCTCCATAGAGGAGGAGGGATGAACATTATATGAACCTCGTGATGATTTTATTTAGGCCTGAAGAACTATATTCTTATTCTTGCCAAAGAAAAGGAAAAGAACAAAGTGATGATTTTATTCTTGAAGAATTGAAACATGGAAAAGAAGAAATTTAATGATGGTTAGGCTGAACATTTCCCTCCCGTGGATTGAAAAAATGAGTGTAAAGGCTATAGTTAGAAGATAGAACTGTGATGAAGTTAGGAATTAACTTTCTTAAGGAATTCATAAACCCTAGTAATTAATTTCTCCATATGTAAGTCCTCCAGGGATTCATGAAACGTAATGTTATTGACGTCATGCCTGTCATGCCATCCGTTTCTAATGCATTCAATGGTGTTTTATAGCATGAATTACAATGGATGGGAAGCAATGCTGTTTATTGGGATAAATGCAGCCATCAGGTATGCAGCCAGAAGTCATGTCTCAGTTTTTTCTTTCGCATTTTAGGACAAATGACATGCCAAGTCACCTGATATAAATTATAATAAAATATTAAAATCACCCAAGAAATTGGATTTTTTATTGCAATAACTATGAGCACTAAAATTAAGACCCCTGGGTAGATTTATCATTGGTGTTTCCTTTTTTCTTCTTTTTTTTTGTTGGGGTGGGGGTGGGGGGTCGGTGGGTTCCTTATTCTGAGTCTGATTTTGATCTATTTTTCTCTTTATGTCACCATTTTGACCTCGTTATCATGTTATGTGTGACTCGTTCTTTTTCTTGTCTAATACCTACAGTGTCAGAGTTTCTAATGAACTTGGACTGCGACATCCAAGAGCTGCAAAATACTCTGTTTACGTGACAGTGTTCCAGTCTCTTTTGATTGGCATATTTTCATGGTTGTTATTTTGGCAACTAGAGACTATTTCGCGATAATCTTCACGAGCAGCAAAATTTTGCACGAGGCAGTCTCCCGCTTAGCTGGCCTCCTTGCTGTGACAGTAGTTCTTAACAGCGTTCAACCAGTGATTTCTGGTATGAACTATTGGAAATTTCCACTTCATGAAAACAGTTCTTTTTTTTTTTTTTAATGGTTTCGGAATAATTCTCGCAGGTGTTGCTGTTGGAGGTGGGTGGCAGGGACTGGTGGCTTACATCAATGTGGGTTGTTATTACATTTTTGGGCTTCCCCTGGGGTTCTATCTTGGTTATGAAGCGAAGTTAGGGGTTAAGGTAACTAAATCGCTTCTATTTCCATGGAATACTGCCCTTTTGAAAAAGATAAATAAAACAGCAAGTTTGGTAAACAGCCTTTCTTGGATTTATTGGTCAGAGACCATAGATAAAACTACATATAGAAATTGACGCTGTGCATGCCAACACTCGAGACTTTTATGTGAAACAATGTGTAAGAAATTAGAGAGAAAATTATGTATGGGCAAACACTTCATAACTTAAATTTTTGCATTGAAGCTGTCTTTGACATCTTATATTAACTTTGAATTTAAATGGAAGCTGTGTTCACTTGTAAGTTCACTGCTTTGTAAACAATGATTATCTCAAATCTAACGGCTGCATACTTTTAAAGAGACCTTTAGCTGCAGCCTTTCTCTATATCCACGCAGCATTAACTATTTTCTTGGGGACAGAAAGGAAGACATACAATTGGAAAATAGAAAAGAAGACGACAATTTTCTAATAGTTATAACTTTTTTCCCCCCCATGTATAGGGACTTTGGGGAGGAATGATATGTGGAACTGCTCTGCAGACTTTGCTGCTCTTGTTTGTACTTTATAGAACCAATTGGAACAAGGAGGTAAGCGATCCTTTGACATTCTTTCTGAAAATTCATGTTCATCTTTTCGATCGCTCCTAGAAACTGATATTCTCCGATTATTATGACTTCAACTAATTTTCATTACTGTTCACATGTTCCCTTTTTCGGTGCAAATACTTGTGCGTGTATAAATTCATGGAGATATTTATTAGTAGTTCTTTTTGACTCCTTCCATTTAATTTGTAGGTGGAAGAAACAAGTGAACGCATGAGGAAATGGGTGGGCAAGACATCAAAGTCGATACGATAACAGCCAGACCCTGAGGCCTGAGCTTTAATATCAGTAAAGGTGCAGATAACCTTATTACTTTAATCTCTTGTCCAGATCCAATGGCCTTCTAACTGGATCTCATCATGCTATATGTCAAGAGTGGATGGTCTTTGCATGTTTATTCTGTTTTATCCGTAGATGTAAAGCACTCGCTATCCTTCTGCTTTTGGTACGAATATATTTCCCTGTGTAGGTTGTCAAGAAAGACAGAAATACCTCATTTCTTCTATATTCTCCGCTCTTGCTTTTTTTAAATTGTCTTACCATGAAATTACAATGAGGGACCATATCATGAAATTATTAAAGTACAAATAAGAAAAGGGCAAAAAGCAAGGCATCCTGGCACAAGGGAGAGGTCTGGTTGGCGAGAGATGATCAGCTGGATCAGGTGGAAAATGAAAAGCCGATGAAGTGATAGCCAGAAGCCTTGTCATGAGATGGCCCATGGCATCCTAGGAGTCCGATTACAGTACCACTTTATCATTAATCAAATTAACTAATTTGAATAGATTAAGATTATTGGTTAAATTAGTTAATATGATATGTTTTTTCCCCTAAAACACTCTAATCATGTTCCTTAATTCTCTCCCTCTCCCTTTTCTACTTATTTATTATTGGAGAATATCACAAAGTTAATTTAAAAAAAGATTAATAAACATTTGAAATAAGTCTTATATACAGAGCTAATTCAATTCTCAAATTAGGTCTTATATTAAGGACTGCAGAAGTATAAAAAACTTAGCCCATCACAACCCATCTGTCTAGAGCTCACATTTACACAGTTTCCATGCTGTTTAAATATTGAACACTGCAACCAACAAGAGTTGTCTAGTTGGTAAGGAGTCAGCTCATAACCTAAAAGTTGTGAGTTCGAATCCCACTACCGATGTGAGAATCTTGTTAGTAGGCGATCTATAAACACACTCTGAGTTTGAAGGCATGCCCTAACCCCGAAAGCTCCCAGAACCCAATTCGTTTAAACTTTATTATACCAAAAAAAAAAGATTGAACACTGCAGGTCCCAAGACTGGCTAACCGGAGAGCATGAAAGACTATGGCTCTGTTTCTCTTTAAATTATTACCAAACTCCTCCCAGCC